AAGATGCCTTGAAAGATATTCGTCAAAAGCGCATGTAGATTTTGAAGATAATCTCGTTTCATCTGATCCGTCTTCATCATGACGCTAGCAAAAGCGGAGTGTAGAGTGCTGCAAAACATTTATCTGCTTGATCTTTGACTTTGGGCCACAAAATGCGATGGAGACCAATTCTCGCAAAAACAAAACTCGAATAAAACAGATCTAAGTACAACGTTAGTATATACAAAGTGCTAAAAACATCTTCTCTTTGAGCTTTGAGTTTGGGCCACAAAGTACACAGGGGACCAGTTTTCGCCAAACTTAGTTCAAGAAAGATTTCAGCATACATTTATGCAGCCCCATGAGGGTAGAAGTTCATCTCAGTGATAGAAAGCATGTAGCAAAAGTCGTAATTGTGTTGAGCAACATTTTCACACTCATCGGGGACCAGTTCTCGCTAATTTTGTCCATTGAGCCTTAGCAAAGAAACGTTCACTTGGTGTATCTTGAGTTTAATCACCAAACACAGCGGGGACCAGTTCTCGTTGTGATCATTTCGAAAAAAGAAGTTCGCATTTTTATTATTCAAAGAGAATGTTTGGGATATAACAGTTTGAATTTATTTCTGCTGGGTGCTCCCAAGAACACATTTTCTCGTACTTTTTCGTTTTGTATTCTTGTGAAATAGTTGTTATAATCCAGGGATGCTCTACAAAAATTGGAGAAGAGAAAGGAGAGAAGATCGCTCATGATTTATTTGATTTCTATGCTGAAGGTAGCGCATGGAGGCTCACTGATCCTAAGGTAAATAATATCTTCCCCGCAGGTATGCTATCTCATTTGAAATTTTTTTGTTTAGTTGAAGTCCGTCCTCAAACAACTGCGCGAAAACGGAGTCGGCATCGTGATTGTATCGAATTTCGATTGTCGTCTAAAGAAAATTCTACAAGACATGGGCCTCTATGAACTGTTCGACATGGTGGTGGCCAGCGGTGAAGTGGGCGTGGAAAAACCAAACCCAGACATTTTCGAGCTGGTCCTGCAACGATATCACCTTCACGATGCTTCGCAGATGCTGCACATCGGGGACAATGTACAAAAGGACTTCCAAGCGGCCAGACAATTTGGGGCCAGTGCCCTTCTCTTCGACCCGCTTTCCGTAAACGCCGAAGTGTCAAGCGCTGACAAAATCACGTCTTTCTCCGAGCTAACGGTCCAGTAGGACAAACGAATTTTTACTGGAATTTT